TTATATGAGAGAAAACGTCAAAAATAGAGAAAGTTTGTCCTGACTTTTGTGCCTCACGGGATCAGCACTAATTGTTGGAACTCTGGGTAGCTTCACAGGCAGATTGTGATGGTGTGAAAGTATGTCCTTATTAAGCTCTCCACATTCACTGTGTCTGAACAAACATGCTTGGACTTCTCACCCTCAACCATTTATTCAGTTAAAGTCAGCTTTTTTTCTGATCTTCACAGTTCGCTAGACAAGATTCATCTTGCACTTGTGGAATCTGACTAAGTCTCTGCTCCCACAGTCCTGCCTCCGCTTTGCCTTTTCAACATCCAAACACGCAGGACTGCCTCATCACCTGTCGTTCTGCTTTTACTTTCTGGCTGTGCTGGCACTTTTGCACATTCACTGCCAAGAACAGCAGCACTTTTACCCGTTATTTCATTTATTTTTATTTTATTGCGCCCACTCAGATAAAGCATTGCAATGTAAATGTATCTCCCCACACTGTCAATAAACTTTGCAGTACAGTATTCTCAACTATAACTCATAGTTGTCTACTAAAAGTTTTATTTGTCTACCAAAAAATATGTTATATTAGTAGTATAATAGTTAGTATTGTATTTTATTGTATTATATTATATTATGATTTATTAATAATTAATTTTTGTTTTATTTTTGTATTTTTCTGAGAGGAATACAAGCACACATTGAAAAGAATTGGTGTAGAAATTTTTAATCATGATACACACACACAAGTAATTTTGTGATTAATTCAGTGTGTTACTAACTCGAAATTGACTTAATTTATTTTGAAAGTTACTAGCAATTTCTGAGTGAAAGTTGTTTCTACGCCAATTGTTTTCTGTACATTAAGAGCGAAAATATCTTTTCTCTGCTGTATTCCATATATATATATATAGAGAGAGAGAGAGAGAGAGCAAGAGAGAGAGTATATACACATACACACATATACAGTGTATATATATATATATATATATACAGCAGAAAACAGATCTTTTCTCTCTTAATTTACTGTCTTCAAATGGAATGCATAATAGTGTGCTTGTATTCTAGTTATTTTTTTACTTTACAGAGCTTGTTCAGATACTTGAAGGACTGGCCGTCCTAAATCATGCTCTCCAATGTTGTTTCTCTCTTCACGCTCCTGTTGGCTGCTTTTTGGCCATCCGTTGTTATCGACCCATTAGACAAAGCAAAATGGAATTTCTAGCTATCTGCACCCTCTTAGTCTATTGTTTCCCTTTCAGTCACGCTAAGGTAATTCGTTTTTCAGGGGCCGTGTTTCGCTCCCCTTTCACTCCTGGTTGATTGCCTTGTAGAACAGACCTGTCCATGTAACATTATCCTTGGTCTATGCTCTTTACCTCTAATTTATCTGTCTAGTGAATGCCAGGATAACCAGGGCCTTTGACATATACACGTCCCTATGAAATGCCATGTTCTGTTGGGATATTTTGTTGGTCAGTGGAAGTTTTATAATAAAAAAAAAAGTTTCATTTTTAAATCTGTACATTAAAACAGTGTGAGCCCGTATCTGTGAATATTAGTTTATGACCAACTGATACTGTCTAAAAAGTTGTGAAAACCGAAAGCTTGGACAGCAATGCGGCTTTCTGGGGGTAGGAGTTCCCAGTTTTTTTTTAGTCTTACTGAAAACAAAACCATGTTTAAATGGTAACAGAGTGATATGAATGCTAAGTTCACTGGATTCGCCAAAGTTTGCCAGGCAAGTCAGTGGCTTAAGTCAGATTCACAAGCAAAACTATTCAGCTTTGTTTTCTTAGTTGTGTGAATTAACCACTGCTAGTTCACACACTTTTCTTCTGTGTTTTCTATATATTCGTCTGTGGACACTGTCTTGCTGTTACTGTATACGCATTTCTTCTACATCTGTCTATGACTCTGCTATCATGTTTTTCAGATAAACTTGCCCCTAAATGGTAACAGTGTTTTGTGTGTTGGTCAGAATATCTTGGCCAGAATAAGCTGAAGCAGTGTGGACCAGAGTGCTTGCTGCTGACCAAAGATTTGGCTTCGCTAATGCTGATTGAATGGTAACATCTGGAAGAGAAGTAACATCAAATTTAAGGCAAGTCAGCAATGTTAAAAGAAAAAAAAGGTTGTATTTGCATTGAATTGTTATTCCTAATGACATAACTGAAGTGCATTGCTCTGGAAGAAAGACCAAACAAACCAAAAACACACACTCATACACAACTACTCCTTTGTCTGTGTTATCAGGAATAAAAGACAGGTACAAACTTGTTTCTTTGCCGTCTTTTCCAGAGACGTTGAGGATGGCATAGTGAGAACCATAAATCATAAAATAAACATATCAAATCCAATTTCATCAAGAATCAAACATGATGAGCCATTGTTTTATCAAACTTGCAAAACCTTCTGGCTCCAATCATGTATGCAACTCTCACTTTTCACCATCTAATAAAATTCAAATGGATAAAATCAACCTCCACTTTTAAAAATAAAGGGTTTTATTGGAATCTATAGTTTCATGCAGAACCCTTAACATCCATGCATGGGAACTTCCCAATGAACAAAAGGTTCTTCATTGTGGAAATGTTCCTCACTTAGAAAAAATGGTTCTTTTAAAAACTGTTCACTGAAAGGTTCTTTGGGGAACTCAAAATGGTACTTCTATACTATCACTACGAAAACGCCCTTTTGGAGCTTTTTATTTTTAAGAGTGTACATTCTTATCATTGAACGTCCTGATGCACTCTCAAATGTCAAATTGTGGAAATAAATTGGGTTGCAAAGACCAATTCACATTGACTTTATCATGTTTGAGATGAGAGATTAATTGCAAAATATAGAGAAAAAATTAATAAGCACATGCTTTTCAACAGCCGTATAACATTAGCAACACTGAACGCATACAAGTGTCTCACAAACACTATTCACAATACTAGTGAATATGCTCAAATTTGAGAGTGGGTAGCATAACTAAGGAAGCTTTTCAGGTTTCTGTGAAAATATTCCCTGAGCTGCATATTCAACCTTTAGCATATGGCATAAGAGCTAATTAGAACTATGCTAATGTGCTCCCTCAGGCCCAGCGACTGAAGAGGAAACCAACTATGTGCTTTCATATATCTGTCATGCTTCAGCAGGCGCTAACAAGGATGACTCTGAGACACTACAGAGCCTGCATAATATAGGTCTGTATTCTTCAAACTTATTTTTTACAGGTGGTCTTATCAGTTTTACTTGGCTTTTAGTGAATTATTTACATTTAACTTTTATATACTCTTAAAAATAATGCTTCCAAACGGATTTTCACAGTCATTCCATTGAAAATACTTTGGAACCTTTCAGTGAACAGTTCTTTAAATATTTTAGTAGTGAAACATAGAAGTGAACATTTTAATAATCTGAAGAACCTTCTTCGTTAGAACTTTTGTGGAATGGAAGGGTGGAAAGGTTCCATGAATGTAAAAGATTCTTCATGGAACCATTGATGCCAATAAGAAACCTTGGTAACACTTTATTTTAAGGTGTCCTTGTTACACATGTTACTTACTATTATAATAACAATAAATTATGCATAATTACATGCAAGTAAACCTAAGCCAAACCCTGATCTTAACCCTAGCCATATAGTAAGTACATAGTTAATTAATATTGCTCAGTATATGTATAATTACACTGTAACAAGGACACCTTAAAATAAAGTGTAACTGAAACCTTTATTTTTAAGAGCCTGTGCAGATCATATAAAATTATTTCGTTTTTAAATATAGCTGTTATAAATGAATTGATTAGCAGTCCTTGATGATCCTGGTGTCCTTGAGCAAAGCTTAATTAACAATTTGTCATTTACCTGTCAATTTTGTCCTTACTGTCTTACAGTGCGATTATTTAAGACGGTCCTCCTAAGGTTAAGTGCCCTGTTTCAAGGATGAAATGGTGATGGATCAACTTTAGTCTCAGCCTCAGATGGCACATCCGCCTACACTCTAAAAATGCTGGGTTGTTTCAACCCAACTTTGGGTCAAATATGGACTAACCCAACATTTGGGTTAAAAATTTAATGTAAAAATTTAACCCAACAGTTGGGTTAGTCCATATTTGTCCCAAAGTTGGGTTGAAACAACCCAGCATTTTTTAGAGTGTACAGTCTTTATAGTAGCTCTCTGATGCATATTGTGTAACAAGAAATGTCAAGATTTGTCCGAAATCATTTCAAGGGAAAATGTCCACCTGGAATTAAGTGTTTACTAGGTTAGTGGCATCAAATGTTTTGTTGCAGTTAAACTAGATACAAGCAAAATGGCCTGCTCTGCTTTGTTAGTAATGGGCTGATACTTATGTGAATGAGGTTTTCAATGCTATTGTGGTTATCTTATATTCTTAAATAGCTACAGTAATATTTCATATTTTATTTTATATTCTTGTATTTTAGATAAAGCGACCCATACATGACAAATAAAATCAAAATCTCTTATTAGACACTTTTTGTGTATAGCTAATCAGACCTTTCCTGTCTAAGTGGAAAAAAAATCCGTTTGTTGTTTAGTCAATGGTGATTACAAGATAAAATTATTGGTAACACTTTACTTGAAGGGGTGTGGTCATGCCAGTCTTATGCACACCCCTTCAAGTAAAGTGTAACCAAATTATTTTCATAGAGACTCATAATGATAATTTTCTAGCCTGAACTAATTACCTTAGTAATCATAAAAATGTTCATGACTTTCCTTAAGTAGGCTACTTATGTTTTTCCATGGCTTTGCAAGACTACAAATCGCTACTTACAAAATCCTCTGATATTTCCAGACTTCCCATCGCAGCGGGAGCCCTGCTTATTGAAAGCCCATTTTACAAATAACGGAGAGAAATTCAGAGCGAGTCTACTGCGTTAGAAGCGCATCAAGAACAGGCAGGTCCGTAAAAGCGCTGTTCCGCGGTAGGTGGTGCTAAACTCATTCACATTTTGTCGGTACCTCGGTGGGTACACAGGATGAGTTTAATCGCGCTGGACAGCGTCCAGCGTCACTCACAGTCTCAGCAAGTCAGCGCGCTGCGCACGAGAGCAACAACCTCATTCCTGGATATTAGGCACTAGGGGCAAGTGCGCGAGCGCAGCGCGCGGACACAATTCGCCTTTCGTTCGCTGAGAGAGGAGCGCGCGAATGGTTTTCAAATTGAAATGAATCGTTAACGGCCGTTTGAAGATGAAGAGGTTTTCTCGAAAGCTGACTTTAGCTCTCGCAGCGCTGTTTTGGATAGCCGCTTTACTCTATTTCATATTGCTGAATAGCCGCAAAATACTACCTGACCAAAGAAACGAGCAACCGCAAGTCAAAGAGGTGAGTGATACATCATGATATGTTAGAAATAACAAACCTCGTAGACGAAATTGATTGATTTGGGTGGTTTATTTGTGTTTAAAACCTGTCAGTAACTCATTCATTCTTTGTTTGTCGTGTTCTGACAGAAAATATTTGTAAAGGTGCGTCACTTTACGATACCTGAGCCAACAATAAAGGGCAAAGCAGTCCAGTATCGTTTTTTTTATTATCTTGTTGGGTGTGGAAAAGAGGAAGGTTTAGTCAGATGAATTCCTTTTCTGAACTTATTTTGAACCACAAGGAGAAATTGAGCTTACTTTTCCCTCGGGAGACGACATAAAATGCTTTGCGATAACCTTTTCACATTTGTTTGTTGACAAATATAATTCTGCAATAGCTAATTTAGTCTCTTTTTCTACTCAAGCATGAATTTATCAGTCAGTATGATGGACGCACGAAAATGGCTTTAATGTAATTATGTGCGTACAAGAGGGAGTAGATATTCAATCTAGATTATTGAGTGAAAAGTAAATATTTAAGAAATGGTTGTAATTAACGCTATAAACGAACCAGTAACATTTGTACCTCTGACATTTGCTTTCATCAGCCACTTTTTGACTCCCCACAGGAAAGACAAATCACAAATGAGATCTCTCTCACTTGTTTCTCATAGACAGCAATGAGTTTTATCAAGGTTTATTTCTTAGGAGAAAGTGTTCTGTTTTCCCTTGACAAGTAATAATCTCTCATGTGGTTCATCTGGTCTGGAGTTTCAGAAAAGTCTCTGTTTGCCAGGATACCTTCTGAAATTTCAGCATGAACTTAAAAATCAAATTAGCCTATGTGCACTATGTTATCCATATTCATTTGATATCAGTTCAGTTCAGTTCAGTTCAATTTTATTTATATAGCACATTTAAAAACAACCATGGTTGACCAAAGTGCTTAACAATGTCCGGAAAAACCTACACACAAACAAGACAAATACAGTAAAAACATCACAATGTCTCAGCTCAGCTCGAAATAAAAGCCAAGGAATACAGATGTGTCTTAAGTAAAGACTTAAAAATTCCAACAGTCTGAGCAGTTCTTATGTGTACAGGTAAACTATTCCACAAATTAGGTGCCACCACTGAAAAAGCTCGGTCACCTTTATTTTTTAACCTGGCTCTCAGAACATCGAGGAGCACCTGATTGGACGACCTCAGCGCTTTAACAGGAGTGTGGACATGTAAAAGCTCTGATAAATAAGCAGGCGCCAACCCATTTAAAATCTTAAAAACAAACAATAAAATCTTGAAATCAATCCTGAAGCGGACAGGAAGCCAGTGTAGTGATTTTTAGTCCCAGTTACAAGCCGAGCTGCTGCATTCTGGACTAACTGTAAGCGTTGAAGAGATGACTGATCCAAACCAACATATAAAGAGTTACAGTAGTCTAGTCTAGATGTTATAAAAGCATGAATTACACTTTCAAACTCCTTATGTGGCAGGTAGGGCTTGACTTAAACCAACAGTCTCAGTTGAAAGAAACTGACTTTTACAACAGAACTAATCTGTTTTTCAAATTTAAAAGCACTGTCAAAAATCAGACCAAGATTCTTGGTGAATGGATGAACATACAAACCTAAATTATCAAAGTGCATCTACACAAGCACTTAAATCCCCAGGATGACCAAACACAACAATCTCAATCTATTCAGTCTATTTTTATTAAGACAAAGAAAGTTCTGATCCAGCCATATTTTTATATCTCTATATTCGTACTGTAAGCAGCTGTCTCATTTGTTTCATCTCACTTTATTCTTCTTTGAGACATTTAAGAAGAAACACTTGGGACAAAACTGATTCTTAAAGAACTTCATTAAGTCTATCAATAAGCAAACTCAAGATGTTTGAACTACTTTTCTATATATTTCTCTCCCCATAAGACTAATTCAAGATTATGTTTCCTATTAAGATGTAAGATATATAAAGGCTATATAAAATAGTTAGTTTCATGTGTGAGATTATGGATTTTACAAGGAAGCACCAATCAATAAATAATTCCACAATTTTGTTCGATATCTATCAAGACTAAGATAGAAAGTAATGGGAACAGAAGGTCAAGGATATTCACAAACAGCATAAAGCGAGATGATGCACATATGTGTTGCATTAATAAATAGATCTAGCTGCTGCATTGTTGCTGTCGGAAACGTAAATCTGCAGCAAAGTCTTGTACATCTTGTAAGTCAGTTTTTCATTCAAACAGCGGCTGGTATATGACAATAAAGTATCACTGAGGGTAATGGGGTATGAAACATGATGTATGGTGTAATATATCTCAACACTGAGCAACACTCTATAGGAACGGAAATATAAAAACAGTTCGCACATGCTCCTTACATCTGTACAGAGACAATGATGGACTTTTTATGGTATAATGACCGGATTTATCTCAGAAGGAATGCAGAAAGAATTCTTAGCTGATGGATGCTTCAGTAGTGATGGATTTTACTTTTTTTCCTCAGTTTCTCTGTACATCCTTGTGTGAGTATGTAAAACAAAAAATAAGTTAAACAGTTAATGTGGCCTTGAAAACCACCGGGAGATCGATTTTACAGACACTCCCCCTTTAAATACAACTAAGCGCTGGGAGAGAAATGCCTACTTTAGTATTCTGTGTTGAACATCATGTTTCCATTTGCTGTTTGCTTCAATATCTATTTTCTGTAATAACCCTGACAGGGAAGGCCGAACCTGCAATAGCTGTTATTGGCGAGGAGGAATGTGAAATACAGGGTTGGCTCAGCGGCTGTTGAGGTGAATGCGGTGTGTGTCACGGTGGCCAGTGTGTTCAAACCATTCATCAAATGGTGGTGACATCTCACTCAGATTCGATGGGAAGATACTCCCCCATCAGCAGAGTGATGCATTATCTTTATAATGGTAAGGGAGGACTGAGATATCACCCATGACATCTGCTATTACCATGATTCATGGCAGATATGTCCCACAATACAGATTACACAAGCAGACGTTGTTGTGGGGTATATTCACAGAGGCTTCGTGTCACTGGCGTTGAGGTGTTAGACCGGACAGATTGAGTTTGATGGACTCATCATTTGCCTGCACATGAATTCTGACAGAACATTGGAATGAATCATTTTAATGCAACACCGCAGACCAATTTTACAGTCATGCACGGCTTCTGTACCTGCTGAGAGTGTGCTGAGGCCTTTAAAAAAAGGAGCAGGATTTCAAAAGTATTTCAGATGTGTGGTTTTGTGCATTGCAAGAGGGCAGAGGCTTTGGTGGAGTAGAACGCTCTATAAAAAGGACCCACACAACCACACATACAGAGTACAGACTACAGGACAGGGAGGATCCAATTACCACTTCCTCAGTCTGTCCTCCTCTCATTAGAAGGCTGAGCTCTGTGGGAGCGGGCGAACACTGAGCCCCAAACGTGGCACAGCTCAAATGCCCTGATCAGTGACTGTGGAGCATCAAGGAGCTAATGATTTCAGCGGGGAGCATGTGGGTGGGTGTGCGAACGTTGCCTTTTGAAGGCGAATAAAATTGTTAAGCAGATAGGAAATTTGACACATTGATTCAGTGTCAGACTCTGTTCCATGTTTTGTCTGTGTCTCGTCATCCCCTCCTCCTGTGTGTGTGTATAAATAGTGTTCCCAGTCCCAAGTTCTGTGTCCGCCTGTGAACGTCTTCCTGTGTACGTCTTCCTGTGAACGTCTTCCTGTGTTCGTCTCCCTTGCTTCCTTGGTGCAAATAAAGTCTTGGTAAAGTATTCTCCAGCGTCTCCTCGTTCCTCGTGTGTGTGCAACGTGACATTCAGAGCCTGTCATCTTTTTTTTTCATGTGCTAATTAAATTCTGTTTCTATTACTGAGTATGCTTACTCATTAAAAGAGTTCATTTTTGCAGTGAGTCATTGTGCCCTAATCCAGAGTGTCTAGATTAACAACGATGTTACATTTTTACTAGCGCTCTCACCTTTTGTCTTTTAAACATTAGCTCAGCCTGTAGGCTTGGCGTGTCGCTTTAAAGTTGCTAGGCCGTTTTAGACAAACTCAGAATGGATGAAGTGCCTGTGGTGTTGTGAGTAATAAGAACTAACGACTGGACCACTGGAAAACTTTTTTTTGCAGTCATTGCTGATTGCCGAAAGTCAGTTTGCAGATTTTAGGCAGTCCAGTTTAATACATTTCACAGAAAATTGTGCAGTGTATATTTCTTTAGCTTCAAACTATGAATCCATCCAGTCAGAGGATATCAAACATATTTAATATTTTAGCCGATTTTGGAGCACACTAATTGCATCCTAAATTGCATAATGTTTGGTGTGAAACTTACTTTGTGACAATTAAAAAAAAGTACACTCTATATGATGTGAATATAGGTATTATGAATGAAATGTGGACATACTACATCCGCCATGTTGTTACTGTCACGTGGCCTACCAGTGTCAGTTGCGTTGCTTCACTGCCATTCACAACGTGTCTCCCATGACCTGATGAGATGGTAAAGGGTCCATCAGATGTGCACTTCAAAATCTTGGCAGAAGTAATAGGTCATCTGGGTACTTTCCAACGTTTTTCTGGATGGATGGATAGATGGAGGATTTTTTTGCATATTGTGAATTTTGACACTTTTCAAGTACTGTATTTTTTTTGGCCTATTTTTAAACATAATACAAATAAATATCTCAGTTTTTGTGAGACTATGGGAGTTTTGTGCAATAAAAGTTAGAGATAATTAGCCTATATATTTGTTGAATATCTGCCAGCAAACCAATTGAAGAGCTGTGCGTCCTTGGATTGAGTCTGCATTGTTTAGCCTATTGGGCTATGTACACAGACAGACATCTTTATTCAATTCAAGTTTATTTGTACAACGCTTTTTACGATACAAATCGTTGCAAAGCAACTTTACAGAAAATTAAGTTTCTACAGTATTTAGTAGTAGCTTATCAGTGGTGACTGTCAGTTTATGTACATATGGCAGAAATGTACTGAAAAATCAATTAAAGACGTAATCAAACAGACGATGAACACTATTAACAGCAATTATTATATGATGCAATCAAACTTACAGCAAAATTTGGTAAGTTGCTCTTCAGCTGTTTACTTTAGCTGTTGCTCACTGAGTTTTTTAGTGCCTCACGGTGGGCATTGCATTTCTAAACCTATGTTCTAAATCTTTTAAAAACCATGTCTGTTTTCTGTTCATTATGTTGCACTGTGTCCACTTGTGTCCAAAATCGACTCTGTGAGAGACTCGTTTGATTGGGGTCCCTAATTATTCAAATGTTATTTTGAAAATATGTAGTTTTGCATATCCCTAATGAGAACATTTACATATTGTTTGTATTATGAGAATGTGTGTATCTGTATTTCAATATCAGCCTGACTTTTAGACAGACAGAAACCACCAATATTATCTGATACCGATATGACTTGGAGACTGAATTGGCGAGTGGAATTGAAAGCCCAGCCATTATCATGCTAAGCAGTCTAAAGAAACATGTGCAATTACCCACCTCTATTACTGGCTGTAAAGATGCTGTTGTGGCTGTTGTAAAGCAGCAGGCCATGACATTCCAAGCACACATGCAATACTGTGAAAAGGCGTGTGAGCGCACTGGTGAATTCTTAACTCATTGTGTTTACAATGCCCTGAAGTCCACTCACTCTAGAAATACAATTTAATAGCTCTATATTAATGCTGTTGTTTTATTGCAAAAAAAGGGAGTATAAAGTTTCTTGAAATGATTCCAAGTGGGAATTTTAAGGCCAATTCACACTGCACTGTGACAGATGCAGACAAACGACAACAAGACGCGCTCATTGGGTTTTGTCAGATCAGTGTGTTACCTCTGTTGGCTTTAGTTAGCGCTTGTTTTTGCCGATTGAACATGTTGAATCAGCATTTGTCTGGTTTTGGAATGTCTGAGAAGTGACACTGTTTTTGGTTGGCTGTCGCCATTGGTCTGCGTCTGTTGGCGCAGTGTGAATTGGCTTTTAAGGGGTGGTTTGTGCTTGATGACTTTTGCGTATTTTTATTTTTCGGGTACCTTTTTAAATTTAAAAATACTTTTTCTGATTTTTCTTTACATGTCTGCACATGACTTTCATTAAAGCGCAAATTTGGAAAAATTCTGTGCTTTTTAAAAAAAGGTCATCATATTCTCTGTATCCCCTTCGTCCTCCTAATTAGCAATACCTCTGAAACGGCACCTGTCATAAACATGGCTTATTGATTTATGTTGTGTGTTTTCATTGTAACAACCCTTGCTATTGTTATAAGCAGAATCTCTACACAAATTCGAATGCTAGTGGCAGTTATTTCCATGGAGGGCAGTAGCTGCATTTGGAAACGCAGGAGAGAAGGAGGCATCATCATCAGTCAGCATTCATACAGGCATCTGGGGAGAAACTAGCAACCTGCTGGCATGGGTAATCACCAGCCCCAACCATAACCAACAGCCTCTAGCCCCCTTAATGGTCTAACATCAGCAAAAAAGCTCAAGGAAATAATAAGTGGGAAAACTTGGAAACTCTCAAGCTGCTGTCGGTGCAGAATGTGGAGGTTTATTAAATTATGATTGATATGACCTTATGGATTTCAAGACGTAGTGTGTTCAACCCTCAATATTCGTGACTACAGCTTGCTGTGTGCCTCATATTTTGAGGGGATTGGTGTGATGGTGCTGCAGAATGCTTAAATATTAATGACTTTCTTATGATAATTGAGAATATTGCCAACAGCAACTTTGTTTACTTTTCCCCACTCTTTTAAATAGTTTACTGAATGTGTTTTTCCACCAAGTGAACATACTCATATCAGAGTCTTGGGTTTCGCAGTGGATTATTATTATTATTTTTAGATTTGAAACTCAAAGATGCTAGGATTTCAGACCTATTAGGGATGACTTATGTAACCTGAAGTGTCACTGACTTCAAGCATTTCTGTGGAACAAGACAACAGACAGTGAAACATAAATAGGCTAAATAATTACAATTAATCTGCTGTGTTTCCATTATTCTGTAGATCTCAGATGCTGAGTGGGATGACCTGCTGGAAGAGTTTGAAGAAAAAAGCTACCTCAATGCTCACAGATGGAAGCCAGGCCAGGACCCCTACAGTCTGTATGCCTTCAATCAAAGAGAGAGCGAGAGAATCCCCAGCAACAGAGCGCTTAGAGACACCCGACATTACAGGTAAGCCCTGTGTGTGTGTGTGTGTGTGTGTGTGTGTGTGTGTGTGTGTGTGTGTGTTATA